AGCACACCCAGCTCCCCAGATCCACACTGGATTTCCCAAAGGTACCTGTCATCTTCTAACCCACTCCAACAGCGGCATCCCGAGGTCCCCAGATACCAACACCCTGAAGGACCTGTTGCTCAGGCACACACCCTGGGGCACAGAGCTGATGATGCTCAGTGTTTGTGAATGACCTGGCTTCCAGCAGCCGGCCTCACACCACCTCTCACACAGTGAGAGTCCCAGATCAAGCACAGCCCCGACTTCCAGCAAGCTCCAGGGAGCAAGGGGCCTCAGCAAAGCACAGCAGACCAGGCTCTGCTGAGGGTACAGTGCTCTTTCCACAGAAGGTAAGATGACAGAGTAGTAAGCCCAAGGCTGCTGAGAGCCACTGGGCCACCCAGGGAGGTGAATGAAGCCCACACAGGGCTAAAGGTGGAGGGAAAGAGACCCCTGAGTTCATTATGCATCAAGAAGAACCATCAGGACTGGCAGGCACCACCGTCAGTTCCCACTTTCACGAAATCCTTTGAGGTAAGTTTCTGTCACTTAGCCTCGACCTACATCTGTCCAGGGCAGCTCTGCCCAAGGGACAAAGGCAGAGCTTCTAAAGACAGTCCACACTAGCATGAGTTTGGGCTAGCCACCTCTCCTCTGGGGAACCCACATCCCATGGGAGGCTATTAACAGTGCTATCTCTTCATATTGACACAGTTGTGCAAGGTCCAGCTATGCTTGGGGTCCGCAGCAGCCAACACTCCACGACACTGATAACTGCCAAAACATCCCGAACCCCGCCTGCCCAAGTGCCTGAGTCACAGAACTCAACTCACACACAACCCTGTGAGGCACCGATTAAAACCTGTTTACCGAAGTGAAAGCAAAGTGACTAGCCCAAGATCACCCAGCCTGGCAGAGCCTCCTAGATCCAGACAGGCTAGACGCAGGCTTCTCTAAGGGTTGAAATCATTGTAGCTAGGGGTTATTAGACCGCTGCTGTACCCTGGGCAAGTCAAAGCCTCTGCAAATGCAGGTCCCTACCTAGACTAGGGAGGGCACCTCTGAGAGCGGGCAGAAAGTAACCAGTCACTGGTGAAGCCACAGCACAGTGGGTGCCCCTGAAACCTCAGTGGCCAACAGCTGTGAAATGCCAAGTGACTGACACATACCCTAACCCTGAGGTCAGGGGCCACCTTCAACCCAACGGGAAATCAAAGCCCTGAGAAGATGAGCCTGAAGGTTGTGGCTCCTGTCACCTTTCCACAGCAGCTCAGAGAGAGTGGAAAGCAGAAGGCAGGTCCCCAGAACCCCAGATGACTTCTTACCACACACACTTCCTCCCCACACCCCAAACCCTTCCTCTTTCTGCCTTGAGGGGAACCCCATCCTCTCCACTGGAGGCCCAGCTTCAGCTCCCAGGCCTGCTCCTGGGCCCCCCCCCCAACATGGACTCTAAAGCACTGACCACACCCTCCCAACTGAGGGCGGGGACGGGGAGTGGGGGGGCAACAGAACCTGCCCAAGGCCATGCAGGGCTGGGCAGAGGCAGAGGCAGCTGGTAGAGTCCCACAGACCTGAAAGCGAGTCCCAGGCTCTGCCATACTAGCTGTGGGGCTTGGGCATGTGACCTCACCTCTCTGAGCCTGTGTCCTCATCTGAAAAACACAAACAAACAAGAGGTCCCTGCAGCACGGAGGTCACGAGGGTTAGATGAAGTGACTGGTAGAGTGCCTAGGGGCTCACAGGACACGGAAGGCCACACAATCAGGAACTGTGCTTTCAAAACCCACCTCTCTACCTACCTGGCTCCTGCCCAGACCCTCGCCTCTCTCCGTCAATCTTCTCCAACTCTCTCATCTGCCGTCCCATCTTCCCATACCCTGTCTGCTGCCAACCACAAAATACCCCTCATGCCCTCAGAGTCATCTGCCCACCTCCTCTGCCCACAACACATGCACTCACCCAGCAGAGCACAGCGTAAGGGACCCCCTTCCGGCCCAGTCAGGCCCTTCCCTAACCCTTCTCCTCCACAGCACTGACATTACTGAGCCGACACTGAAGTCATCCATACACTCCAGTCCTCTGCCACATGTGGGGGACACAGCACAGAGACGCCACACATTGTCACTTAGCAGAGTACCAGGAATCCATAAGGCTGAAGAAGGGCATGACACAGGTGGGGCAGAGGGACAAGCTGCTCCCTGTTAGCCCTCCTCCCCTCCCTTGCCAGGCCCACCCCTGGGGGCTTCTCCCGTCTTAGCCCATCTAATCTAATCCCCAGCTGCTTTCATTAGTGCCCTTTACAGAGGAGGAAATGCTCTGCCAGCCCACGGTCCACCTCTGACCTGGAAATAGATCACAGCTCAGGAACAGGAAGGACAGGAGACTCACAGTGAGCTCCACCTGCCATCGCTACCTCCTGGCCCTGAATCACCCGCTCAGGTGAATCACCTGAATCACGCAGGCTTCTTTCTCCTTGACCCTGAGCCCAGATGAACAGGTAACACTTGAGTGACTCTGCTATGGGCTGTCCCAGCACTTGCATGTGTCATGTCCCTGAGACCTTTGATTGCCTCCACAGCTTTACAAGGCGATTCTGTGCCTCTGGTTTGTGGACTAGGAAACAGGTTGAATCACCTAGCCCGACCACTCCAGAGCTCGATCTGAGATGCCCAGCTGTGTTCAGCGCCCAAGCTCCTAACTACCCAACCCTGTCCGCTGCCTCTCATATAAGCACACATAAACACGCAATTAGAAGGCACTCTAAGGCCAGGAGGGAAAATTATAATTTAGAAAGACTGGAGCTCCTCTCTAGGAAATGGCACTTGAAGTGACACACAAGGAAGCCACACGGAATTAGCCAAGAACACCAGAGAAACAGGAAGAGAAGAGCATTCCAGAATGTGCAGGGAGAAAAAGCTTCGGACAGTCACCAGCTGAGGGGACAGTGCAGCTGGAAGGCGGGAGAGGCCACTGGCAGCAGGGTTGGGAGTTCTGGTCTCATTTAGTGGCAAAGCAACCTACTGTAGACACCTGGAGGTGCCCACCCCCCTCCATAGCTCAG